TAGAGTGAAGTGCTTCCTATGACACAATCCAGGAAGTCTCACTCTGAGTAATCGTCCAAGAGAAATAAAAATTATATTTATACAAAAGATATGCAAATATTCATAGTATTTTTATTTGTAGCTGTAAAATGTGATGAGTGGATAAAGAAACAGGGTGCACAATAGACACTAATAGGCAATAAGAAGGAATAGAATTAGGCTTGGAGAGATGGCTCAGTGGTTAAGAGCACTTCCTGTTCTTGTATAGTACCCCAGTTCACTTTCCAGCACCCACATTAGGTAGCCTTAACTATCCGTAACTCTAGCTCCAGGGGATCCAATACCTTCTTCTGGATTCTGAAGGTACCTGCACACATAGGTGCATGTACTAACACAGACACATATACATATGCATAATTTAAAAATAAATACAAATTTAAAAATATCAGCATGGATAGATATAAGTGACATGTTTAAGTTTCCAAAAGATTTGCTAAGTGAAAGAAGCTACCCCCAGAACATATACCATAGCCCTCCACCATCACATTTTATAAAAGAAAATTACAGAGCTGAAGACCCAATCAGTGACTCATGGGGATAAGGATTGGAGGACAGTATGAAGAAATCTAGAGATCCAGAACAATTGTTCTCTGTGATTATTTTTATGGTGAATAGTATGATGATGCATTTTTCACAATGCTTAGAATTCAGTATCCCAGAGAGGAATTCTTACCATGTATACATTTTTTTAAAAAAGGTTTAAAAATATAACTTTAATGCTTACTCATAATTTGTGATTGATGTAATATTTCCAGCTAGGGATATTTACCAGAGCCGTGATAAATACAATTCAAGGTTGTTTATGTAAGAGGCTACCAGGCCTTAACACAACAGATGCCATGTTGGAAGCACCATTCTGAGCTTAGAATGCCGCACACAGGCCCCAACACCTGCCCAAGCAGGAGCAAAGACCTAGCATGAAGTTCCAGGATCCAGGAAAGTCTCCAAAGTTGCTAACATTGCTTTGGGCTCTAGTAGTTTTGTTTCTCATTCACCATTGTTGCTAAGTGAAAGATGTCAGTCAGGATACGGACTTTGTGCATTAAAGACAAAGAATGGGGAGGCTACATGATTTGGGCAAGATTCCCGTGCACCAATGGCAGGCAATACAGACTTTCTAGTCATCTCTAGAGGACTTGCCTTCCAACATTCTTATTCTTTTGAATGTTTGAATGTATCCAGGGTACAAGCACAGGAAACCACAAGAAAGTCTTTTCTCAGACAGCCCTTCCTTACAGACAACAGCAAATTACAAGTTGGAACGACATCTCATTCTGCTGGTCCTAGCCAGGTTGCAAACAATGTACGTTCTAACTTTCACTAAAAGGTAATTGTTCATTTCTTAACTACACGTTTTGTTTGTTTAAATTAGTCCTTTCTTTCTTCCTCACAGATAACTACTGTCCACATTTCTTCACCATCTTATGAAGTATCAGGTTGTTTGTTCTCCAAGAATGCTTGTGGGTATGCTAAAGCTCATTAACTATGTACTGGACACACACTCTCCTTAACTAAGTACAATCCCAGGGACTGTCCCTCTGTGGGATAATTTTCATAATTATATGGCTTAGCTGTTCCATTTACATTACCTGGCTTTCCAAGGAATAATGAAGGCAATTTATAATTATAACCTGCTTTATTGTGAAAGTCCTTTGACATACTTCCTCAGTTATTTGAATAATGTACACACACAATTGGAATGGAATGGATAAAACAACCGAATCTTCAGAGCCAGCATTAGCATACATTCATTTCAGGCTACCTTGGTCATAAACGAACTTCCTCTGCTGTCCATTTAAAAGCCTGACTTAAGTTCACCAACCAGTAGTACAAGTGTAAAATTTCAATTTAAAGTGTGGAGGTTGGGGCAAGATGAGGACTTGGCATGCTACCTCCTACCAATTAATAATTGTTAATGTTGCCAGTAAGGGGCTGGAGGTGCCAGAGCTGGCAATGAACTTTAAGACATTGGGAGTCATAGAAATAAGTACAAGTGGGATTCTAAAGGTGTTGATGAATTTTCTATTGCTGGGAACATGGCACCATTCTCTTTTCATAAGCAATCTAGGATTTAATGTTTACAATTAAAATGTATACTTTTTAAAAATATGAGACAATTATTGAATTCTTGAAATTAAAAATAAAAGTGCTTGCCAACTTTACTGTGCATCACATCATCTTGGGAAACAAAAGCCCATCATTTCAAGATCAAAGATGAACTAGGGAAGGAATGGTGGCACATGTCTGTAATCCTAGTACTCAGGATGCAGAGGATTGTAAGTCCAAGGCCAGTGTGGACCATATTGTGAGACTCTATCTCAAAACAGAGGCAAAACCAAACATGAACAAAAGAAAGTTAGAGCTGATAAATTGGGTTTGAGTTGTATATCCAAATAGAATAAGAAACTCTTGCCTTTTTTCTTTCTCTTTGTTTTTTTGTTTCTTCCTCCCTCCCTCCCTCCCTTCCTTTTTTTTTTTTTTTTTTAATGCTTGTATTGTAGACACCAGTTCACTCAGAGCCAGAGCCCACGGCATCCTTGGGTAAGGATTCCCTTGCTTTCTGCACCACAACCTGTTGGCATTAGGTATGCCATTCCTACCCCCGCAGTGTCTCCTGGGAGCATGGGTTCTTCTGAGCCTTCCTTCTGCTACGGCAGTGCTTTCCACCCTCAATAGCTCTCTCCATTTGCAAGGAGCCCAGCGCCTCTGCTTCTGCAATCAGTCCTCCTAACCATTTCAGTTTGATCCTAAATGCTTTATTGTTGACTGTTCTGTTCTCCAAACCTCTGCTGTTCTCCAAGCTTTACTTTATCCTAAGGTATTACCACCTAAGTAAATATGACAACATAGAAAGCAGGTCTCATTTTATAAAGGTTTTTAAGATAACATTTATTTATTTGTCTTATGTGAGTGTGCATGGGTGCACATGTGCCACAGTGTACTTGTGGAGGTCAGAGGGTAACTTGAGAGTCTCTTGTGGTTTTCCACCATGTTGACCTCAGGAATCCATCACAGGCTGTCGGGCATGACAGCAAGCGCCTTAACCAGCTGAGCTATGTCTTGCCCCCCAAAAGGATTTTCCTTTCTAATATTAGAGTAGCTTGTTTCCATGACTCAGCCACCAGTGGAAAGATAACGTTGAAAACATGAAGTGATGTGAAGAGTGGTGTGAAGGTGGATTTGAACATGACGAGAGAAACAGTAAGACCCAGGAGAAGGTTCTTGTGATGCATTAGAGGAAGACACTGAAAACTTCAACTATGGTGTTTGAAGTAGGAGAGGAAAACCAGAGACAGACAAAGAACAGCTTGTATGTTTAGAATCTACCTACAGAACTCTAGCAAGGAATCATTTGAAGAGCGTGATGGCAAAGGATAAATTTCAATGGCTGTAAAGTATCTAGCCTGTGGCGTACAGAATATACCAGTGGTGGGAGTTGGGAGGAGTTTGGTGGCACCAAGAGGCACTGGCAAGCTTTACATTTAAAGAGATTGCATTCAAAACCTGTATTTGGCACTCAAGTCCATATGATAGCAAGCCAATGCTTTAGTACTTTCACACATAGAGGTTAGCACACATACCCACAAGGAGGGTTGTGATGAGGACTGAGAGCTAATGCATGGGAGGCACCTGTGACACAGGCTTCCAGGCTATGAATGGAAATCAAAATTGTTATGACCACTGTTCTAATTACCCATCAATGATTAACAATGACCCACAATAGAATAGGCATAATGGACTATTTACGTGGGGTGTTTTCTTGTGCCCCAGGGAGCTGGCCTGACGGAGAGTCTAGCAGTCCATTCAGGGGTGATTACTCCCAGGGGACCCGTGTTTGAGAGAGGTTTTGGGATATCTGCTTATTTCACTTGTTGTGCTCGATTGGAAGTGATTCTGAAGGGACACGCGGAATGTAGAAGGAAATGCAAGCTGACAGGTTGAAGAACAGGGTGGGCGTTACTGTGGAGGAGCAGGAGAAGACAGTCAAGGAGGGACTCCTTAAAGACGCTGGGCAGGGGTGCACCGGCTGCTGAGCAAGCCAGCACAGTAGACTGGGTGTGACATGTGAGCTGTGAGCTGAAGGCCTTAGAAAGAGGGTGGATCCTGGGAAGGGCAGGTGGCCAGAGGGTGGGGACATGGGCCGGGCAGGACTGGGAAGGGACAAATGGGAAATTGCCGGGCCTGGTTGGGTGGAGTTCAGCCAATAAATCATTTGCAGTTGGTGGAAATGGCATGTGTCTTCCTTTACGTAGTTGCTCCATTAAAAGGGCCCTGCTTCCTTTCAGTGCTGGGTTTAGTCACGCAGTTACTCATTGCTGAAGGCAGCTGGACAGCCCCGCACTGCTAAGTGGTGCACAGTAACATCTGTTTCACTTAAGTAAGTACAAGCAGCATTACACATCACCGAAACCATCAGGGCAGGACACGATTGTTTCTGGAATTAATTATATCACCAAGATGCGCTGCTAATGAAATGGAATGTGCCATGCATATGTAAATACGGGTTTAGATTTTTCTGATTTAAACAATACGTCTTTTGATAGGGATATTGTGGGAGCCTATTGCTTGCTGTGTGTGGTAGGTAAGAATAGGAAGGAAGGGAACAATGGGGCTGCTGACTGCATGGCCTTGGTATGAACAAGATATGGGTTCAAATCCCAGCCCTGTCTCTTGGCTGTGGGGCTTTAGGAAATTGCTTACCCTCTTCAGAGCTTAGCTGGCTCTCCACCAAAGAGGTGGCACAGGAACTAGATGCAGTGCATAAGGTAGCCATCATCCTAGATAATAATGATGATAATAATAATAATAATAATAATCCACAGCTACTATTACTTTTGAAGTGCTATGCTATTTGTTTGTTCCCACCATTATCTCTCACTTCCTTCCAAAGCTGTTGAGGTGGGAGCATCACCATGAGGTCATAGAGGAAGTGAAGAGGATACAGAGATGCCGTTGCTTACCAGGATTCTGAGGTCACAGGCAGCCGAGCTGGTGTTCATATACGTCACCTGGTGTTCTGTCTATGTGAGGCGTGGGCACGCAGTGCAGCCTGGACACTGCAGACTGACCGTGTGTGCTCAGTCTAACACATCATTTCACGAAACAGAATGAAAAGTTCACATACTTCATCTCCACAAAATGGTGTGATTTTCTTTTTTCAAATATGACTTCACTGATACAAGACACTCACATGTTGATGGGGTAGAGAACGTATCAAAACTACATAAAGTTTAAAAAATTTAAACAGGGCAAACGGCATGAAAGACAATCAAAGCCCAGTCAGAGATAGCGACGGTTGCTTGAGAGCAATTTATAGATGGCTCTTGACAATGTGTCTGTGAAGTTCCCCAAAATATTCTCCAGTCCTGAGCAGAGAACCGTGAGACAGGAAAAATGAGCAGCAGTTGGGGGGGTGTGTGCGGTGAGGACTGCTGAAGGCGAGGAAAACTCTTGCTGAAGTCAGCGAGAGTTGTGAAAAGCAAACAACTGTCACCAAATGTCCTGCTCCTTTCTCCCTGTGGCCATCACAGTATGCCTGTCATCAGAATAAGAGACCCAGTGCAGAAAGACGCCTGGAAGTTTTGTGAACCACCAGAGTGTCCAATCCTCAGCCTGCTGCCTTCAAACTGCCCAGGGTAGCTGTGCACAAAGTCCAACATAAATCTGTGAACTTATTCAAAACACTGTTTTCGATTTTTTTTCTTAACTCAGTTGTGAAATTCTTGACTGGGAACTTTGTGCACAGCAACATGGGCCAGATGCACTGAAAGGTGCACCAGTGGCCTCTAAATGTCTTCCTCATCTGTGTTACCCTGCTACCTGAGACCCACTGACCTAGCTCAGTTTGTAAGCATCTGGCTGAGCTCTGTGCAGCTCTGCTCTTGTTGAGTTCTGTGTCCCCACCTCAAGGTCCCTATCAAGGCAGATGGAGCTTTTCTTAGTTTCTTCCATGCGTGCATGATCACCCCTCTCCTGTAGACCTTCCCTCCTGCTGTGTTCTGGTTTGGAACCGCCTCCATCTTCTCAGCCACTTCATCCGCATCCATTCCTTGAAGGTCATTTCTACCAGCCTGCCTTCCTCACTCAGCAAAGTGGGGCTCTGACGTCCCTAGGGCATTCTCCCAATGTGTGCTCTTTGTTCCCTGCCAAGGTCGTCCTCATGCACTCTGCTTGTTTACCTGTGTGTCCACTTTTAGAAGACAGCTCACCATGTTATTCCATGTTATTCTACATTCCTGAGGGCAGGGATTGTAGCTCTCCTGGTGCCATCAAATCTCCAGGAGCCAAGACAGGTCTCCCACGCAGCAGAGCAGACTCTCCATAAATACTTGCTGGGTGAGTGAGGATCCCCTCAAGTGTACTTGGTTGTGTGTGAAGCCAATGTCTCAGGAAGAAGATGGAATTTATGAGCAGAGCTTTCCAGCAAATTGTAATTAGTCCTAACATTAAAAACATGCATATAATTACTTCTCCGTTTCTGATTTTGGAATGATAATTATTTTTGCAAGTTCCGAATGTTTGTGACAACTAATGAATTATGAGCAATATCAAACGTGGCAGTAGATGGCTCCTGTTCATAGCTTATGAGAGTAGCATTCTAGAAGTAACCAGCTTCGTTGCAGACTTCTCTTTTAAAAACCTAAGAAATAAAGAGAATTACATTGAAGCAAGAAAGACTATGGCTAGCTCTTAAGTATAAATGAAATGAACCCTTTGTTTGGCTTGCATATCTGAAATGTATATGCAATGCCTGAGGCCCAGTGTTTGGTTTCATTTCAAACAGCTTGGAGACTATTGGCATATCAGATATGTCACAGTATGCATGTATTGAGGGACGGTGTTGAAGGCACTTGCATATTTATTTCTCTTCTGCTGATTTTTCATTTCACAAGCAAGGACAGTGACATGCCTCGTGTTGGAGCAGCTGTTGTAGACACGAAGGGAGTCTGTGCAACCAGACAGCCCCGAGCAACATTAGGAAGGGGTCCATCCAAGAGCAGAATATCTAGGCTTGAACTCTGAACAGCTGTTTAAGGGTTGTTGTATGTAGTGTCCCTCATATGAAATTAGAACTATGAACCCAAATGGGTCTTCTGAAGATCACATGTCATAATATGTATAAACTGTTTAATTCAGCATTAAACCATAGGAAATGCACTTTGAACCAGTGTGTCAATATAAATCTTTTCTTTTTTATAAAGGAAGAACAGGGTTTATTTTTTGTCTTATGGTCCTAGAGAGAGAGCATCCATAATGGCAGCAAAGGTCTAGCAGTGGGAGCAGAAAGCAGTCAGGTCATGTTTCATCCCATAGACAACTTGCCGTAAATCATAACCACATATCTTCTTCATTATTAATTGCTGAATAGGATTGCCTTTAAAATATATGTTATTAAATAAACAAATAACTTGGATTCACATCTGAAATCACATTAGTAAATTATTTGATGTAGGACTCTGAACTATCTGGGCCCTTGGTTCAGAAGCTTTAGTTGGTTTCTGCTTTTCCCTCTAGAGAAAGGAGCATTAACTGAAGGCTAAAGAGAATAGTTGGAAGTGCATTTTCTTAAAAAACATCTTTTTTAGATATCTTAGCCTATTTTCATGTATATGAATGTTTACCTGTGTGTATATATGTGTATCAAGTATGTGCCTGATGTCCTCGACAATCAGGAGAGGGTGTGAAATCCCTTGGAACTGAAGTTACAGATGATTGCCATGTGAGGGCTGGGAATCAAGCCCAGATCCTCCTTAAGAGCAAGTGCTCTTAACCACTGAGCATCTCTCCAGCCTCAGAAGCGCATTTTCATTGGATGGACACCTACGTTGATTGGATGTGTGAAAACTGTATTATCTTTTCCCATAGCTTTCACCTTTGACTCCTCTTTTCAGATGAAATGAAAGAAATGAGTGCAGTAAGGGGCAGGAGGTACGCATGCTGCAGGATCTCATTCTTTCATAGTGTAAAGGAAATAGAATTTCACAGAAACTGAGTAATGTGTTGGTCCCCCAGAGGCTGCGCTTGGGCATGGCAAACGTTGGTTAGAGGATACACAATCTCAATTGGGATGAAGAATTTCAAAGGAGTTGTTTTACACCACATTCACTACTGAGAATAGTAGCTAATGGACTAGTTCCAAACTGTTAAATGTTGAAGGCCTAGTCTTCACTCTACACCAAATAATAAAGATGTGAGGCCATTGACTTTAGATAGCATGATTTGGCCATTCTATAACACATAGATATGTGGAATGTCATGTTGGAGGTGATAACTGTGTGTAGTTTTTATTGTTCAGTTAAAAGTAAGCAAATAAATACACACATGCACTACCCCACACACTACCTCTACCAACTTAAAAATAGACTCAGTATGGATCACCGGGTCCTTCTATCTTGCCATTTAGTGGCAGAAGCTAGGTATTGCTCTCCCAAGGATGTAAAGCCCCCCCCACCCTTGCTAAGTTTTAAATTTTTTTTCATATGCAGCTCAGGAAGATAATTAATGACCAGACTCTTCACCAACTGGAGAACTCTGAAAGCTTGAAACAAGACCCAGAACAAAATAACTCTGCAATACAGATGATATAAAATTCACATTTCCGTTGCCAGTTTTTGTTTAAAATGTATGCTTGTATGTCTCTGTGTGTCTGTCTAGGGGCCTCTCTTCCCTTGAGAGCTACTTACTGCTTACTCCTCACACTCACTTCAGCAATGAGAGTCACAAATGTAATAGTTTCAACAGAGCTTTGCTTGCTTTCTGTTTTGCATTTTCATCATGGCCAGCCTTAAACTGGGAGGTGTCTTCACTAGCTTCAACAAAGCGAAGTTTCTCTGTTAAATCATGGGTCAAAGATACTGTCAGCAGAGCTGTCAACTCGACTTCCTGAAGCTGACAGACAGACTCAAGATTGAAGCACATGGAGTATAATGAACATGGAGGTTTTGGGTATGGATAGCAATCTCCAGGAAGCTACGCGTGCGTGTGAAATCCCACACTTAACTATGATGAAACCACCACTCAGCTAAGTTGCAAATGCCGATCAAGTTTTTCCTGATTATCCTAGGCCGCAATCAAGACTTTCGCCTGGGTTTGGTCTGAACTTAGAGGGCTAATGGGACAAGTCTTGACAAGGAATAACTGTGGGGTTGGGTGGCAGGGCTGAGAATTTCACATGGATGGGTGCCCAGAAACCATTGCCAGCAGGGCACCTGGAGGAGACTTCCAAGTGACTAGGGCAGCTTCAACACAGCTTTCCCCTCTAGAAAATGAGCATTAACTGCAGGCTAGAACCACAAACAGGATTCCCCACATAAATATTCACGTCACGCCCAAATCTTGTAATTTATGAAATGTCAGACATTTTAGCTATTATACAGTGCAAAAGTTTGATTTTGAAAGGTTTTATAAGCATTTCTTTTTGCAACTTGATTTTTTTTCAATATAAATATGCATGTTTTTTTACTGGGACAGGATTTTTACTGCATGGATTATTGGTTCCATGCAGAAAGGTGGATCTGAATATCCCCAAAGAGTACTTTGTATTAGGTAAAGGTGTCCTGTTTCTGTGACATGGGAGCTCTGGAGCTGCCACCCCTTGGCAAGCTTCACAATGAAGCCAGGCATTGCTAAGAGAAGCTCAGAAGTCAGCAGGAACCTTGGAAGAAAATCAAGTTTTATCTACTTGATACAAGTCAAAGTTGCTGTAAGATTTCTGAATGCTTCAGGACAGGAAGACAGCTGCATTTTAAGAGTAAACCCTAAAGGATAGAGGGAGTGGTGTCCTGAGGTTGATCTGAAGTCAGGAGAAGAAATCATGATCTGCACAGCAGGACCCATGGGTGGGAAGGACACTGTCAGAACATTTTTCTTGCTGTTGTGATTGTCAATTTATTGCTGAGGTTAAAAGTTGGATTTGCAGCAAATAATCTCATTGTTCCCAAAGGATCTGCATGCAGGTAATTGATTTTCACTCAAGTATCACAATGTTAACAATATTTGTAGAGTTTACTTATGTGAAGCCATTTATCCTAAATAAGGCTCTTAGCCTCTTTTTTTCCCATTATGGGTTCAATATCTGTATAATGATATTAAATAGAATAGAAATGGGAGTATAGTGTTTCTATAGATCATTCAGATGACACGAGACAGTAAAACAAAGACAATTTCAAAAGTTTGATAAGTGATTTCTCATGTGAAGACAGTCTAACCAGTATGAGTCTAGACCAGTGGTTCTCCATCTTCCTAATGCTGCTACCCTTTAACACAGTTCTTCATATTGTGGTGACTCCCAACCATAAAATTATTTTTTTTGCTACCTCATAACTCTAATTTTGATACTGATATAAATTTTAGTGTGAATATCTGATATGCAGATGATCTTAGGCAACCCCTGTGAAAGTTTGATCCTGCCAAAGGGCTGTGACCCCCAGGTTGAGAAGCACTGGTCTATGGGCTTATAATGTGCTTCCAGAATGAGGCTCCTGAGAAGGGATATCTTCATCTACAGCTGGTGAATTTTATCTTTTCCCAGGATAGTATGTGACAGACCAATGGGAGAGAAGCAAGAT